ACACACACACACACACACACATACACACACACACACATACAGGTGAGTCCGCCTGGGTCTGGGTCTTTTCTTGGTGTCTGCTCTATTTTTTTTAGATAAACTTGCTCATCTGCTGCCTTTAAGTCCTCGTCCAGCTCCAGTATAATGGATTCATGGTCAGGAGGAGGTGGACACTAACATTTAATTCATTCCTCCACAGCTTTCATGTTGCGTCATGTTTAGGTTTCACAACTCCATTAAAAAATATATTTTTCTTTATGTGCTCCACTTTATTTGTGGATTTGTTATCTGTGGATGTTTATCAGTTTGAATATCGTGGCGGCATAAACACATTTATTTATAAAACAAAATGAAACAAGGATCCAGGCTTGGGCTAGTAATTATTTTTCAGCGATTTTTCCATTTAGAAAACTTTGTCCTGAAGTCAGAGACCACCAGAGGGCCTTCGTAGTAAATACTTACTTTATTTAACCTCCTTGTTTCCTGTTCTGATGGAGGACGCTGCCTCCCTGTTCCAGGATCCTGCTTTTCTCTTTGACCTTTGACCTCTGTTTTTAATCATTTCATTATGTACATTTGGGACTGTGGAGGGCCTATCAGCAGGCAAAGTGTGAAAAAAATGACTGGGTCATGTTTTTGTGGGCCGCCTCAGTCTGATTCCAGGAGATAAATCAGGAGGTTTCAGGAGTGGGTAGTTTCTGACGTCATTAGCTCTAGCTCATTATAATATTCCAGCCTTTCACCTGCATGTTGCCCCCCCCCTCAGCTTACTCCCCTATCTGTGGAGACGTCGTGGTAGCGTGAGCGTTAGCATGGTAGCGTTAGCGTGGTAGCGTTAGCGTGGTAGCGTTAGCATGGTAGCGTTAGAGTGGTAGCGTTAGCGTGCCGACGTGGGCACACCTCCCTGAAGAAGTGGGCGGATTGCCTGTGTCTCATTTGCATTTAAAGAGACAGGCACTCCAAAGCGAGCGCTCTGAACGGGGCTGTTTTGGGTTAGGGTTAGGGTTAGGGTTAGGGTTAGGGTTAGGCAGGGGGACTGAACTGCTATTGGGCTTCATCCTTATGGGATTCTGACCAAAGCTTGTCACAGACATTACATTAGGACACCAGGGAACTAGCTTAACTTGTTGAAATAGGGTATAATATGTCTCCCTTAAGCATATTTAAACTACCTGAACCAGGACAAAGTCTTGTTCTTAACTCATTGGCTGCCAAATATGTCTATAGATGTCTTTTATGTTTTTCAACGAGAGTGGCTGGGGGACGATCTGCTAAAGCTTGTCCGTAAATATCGGCTTCTAGACAGAGTATGTAGTAACAAATTGACCCTCTAGGGGGCAGTGCCACTTTTGATGGGAGATGAGCATAGACTGTAGGCAAATAAGAAAAAGCTAACGGTTCTATGAGAGAACATGTCGCCGGCGAGACGCAAGTCCAGGAAGAACGGAATAAGGTAGAAACTAAAAAATTTTCCTGATGAAAGAAGAGAGTCTACTCTTTCTTTTGGTGTGTTCGGTGTTTACATAGTCATAGCACAAACTATTCTGTGGCTCTTGAAAAATCAGTCAAAATGTGTAAAAAAAACTCTGGCAGTCATTGAGTTAAACTTAGATCTGGAACAGACTCAGATCCTCCTCAGCTTACTCCCCTATCTGTGGCAGACGTCGTGGTAGCGTGAGCGTTAGCATGGTAGCGTGAGCGTTAGCATGGTAGCGTTAGCATGGTAGCGTTAGCATGGTAGCGTTAGCATGGTAGTGTTAGCATGGTAGCGTTAGCATGGTAGCGTTAGCGTGCCGACGTGGGCACACCTCCCTGAAGAAGTGGGTGGATTGCCTGTGTCTCATTTGCATTTAAAGAGACAGGCACTCCAAAGCGAGCGCTCTGAACGGGGCTGTTTTGGGTTAGGGTTAGGGTTAGGGTTAGGGTTAGGCAGGGGGACTGAACTGCTATTGGGCTTCATCCTTATGGGATTCTGACCAAAGCTTGTCACAGACATTACATTAGGACACCAGGGTAACTAGTTTAACTTGTTGAAATAGGGTATAATACGTCTCCTTTAAGCATATTTAAACTACCTGAACCAGGACAAAGTCTGGTTCTTAACCCATTGGCTGCCAAAGACGTCTATAGACTTCTTTTATGTTTTTCAACGAGAGTGTCTGGGGGACGATCTGCTAAAGCTTGTCCGTAAATATCGGCTTCTAGAAAGAGTATGTAGTAACAAATTGACCCTCTAGGGGGCAGTGCCACTTTTGATGGGAGATGAGCATAGACTGTAGGCAAATAAGAAAAAGCTAACGGTTCTATGAGAGAACATGTCGCCGGCGAGACGCAAGTCCAGGAAGAACGGAATAAGGTAGAAACTAAAAAATTTTCCTGATGAAAGAAGAGAGTCTACTCTTTCTTTTGGTGTGTTCGGTGTTTACATAGTCATAGCACAAACTATTCTGTGGCTCTTGAAAAATCAGTCAAAATGCTCAAAAAACTCTGGCAGTACGGGACTCTCTGTTCTGAAAATGGCTGCCAGTCAATGAGTTAAACTTAGATCTGGACCAGACTCAGATCCTCCTCTGGTTTTCTTCCTCAGGGCGTGGGATCGGACCAGGGGATGGGCGAAATCCTTCGTAAGATGGGGGTCGC